CAGAGTTGATTAGCTTCCAAACCAGACTTGGCAGAAGTCTATACAGATTGAGGGCCCGTAAGCAGTGTTTCGGGTAGACCTGGATCGTAGTAGGCGCTCATTCAATAAATGAGACCAGCCCCGTGCTCGGCATCAGGTTCGCATGGATGAAAAAGACACGGCTCCATCATCAAGGAGGAGACATGCCGACCGTGTTGACACAGTAGGCTAGTTGTTTATAAACTACCCTGAGCACCAGAGAAGGAGCACAGATGTCCCTCTAAATCCAGAAATTCACTGCATGCCGTTCCCGGGTCACACTGGCACTGCAGTCCCTTTTCCACAGCCCCTCTCCAGGGAACTAGTCCCCTGGTACTTTGTGTAAGCGCATGGAGGGTGGGGATGCAGCATCTCTGCTGCCACAGACAATTCAGGCTTGTGTTCCACCAGTGTTTCCAGGGCATCCCTCTGTGCTGAATGCTGTGCAAAGTGCTTTCACAGAGATTTCACCACTCGCCCCTGACAATAACCTCCACCAGGCACCAGCCCCGTGATTCTTTGTTGAGCAGGAGAACCGAGTGTCACCTATCTCTGTCTGCTGTAGTTTAGCAGTCTGACCTTAGACGACTCCATTCACCAGCACTCCAGGCCTCAGTTTCCTTATCTGTACAAATGAGGAGGTTGTCTAGGGCGGCTTCCAACTTCCAAATTGTGTTTTGGTGAGTTCTCCTACCCACATTCAAGGGCTCACTCTTCACAGAAAAAGCTGAAAGCAGATTATCTAGTGGAGTCCACAGGAAGCCTGCTGGGTTTTAGCGCAGCCTTGCAAATAGTGCAGCAACACTGACCAGTCTGCAGACGATTGCTCTCACCGCTGAGTGCAGAGCATCACAGGAAGCCTTGGGATTTGGTGGTAATAAACAGTGCAGATCCAGAAATGGCGGGACCTGTTCTCAGGGGCATTGAGCAGCTTTTGATATTATTAGCTTTTTTCCCCATTTGTCTCACCCCACCCCCACCAGTGCTGGCCTGATTTCTTTGTGCCAAGTTTGTGTGTTGGGACTCTGGAAGGGGGCAGGGCCTTCTAAAAGAGTCAGAACGCCGACTGTGTTCTAACCCACCAAATGCCCTGGCGCTCCAGAGGCTGTGTCCACCGAGGTGTGGGTTGCTAGGAAAGCACACCAGGGTACAAGCAGCAGTGTTGTCTGTAGAGAATTTAGAAACAACAATGAAACCAACTAAAGTCAGTCGGCTTTTTATGCTCACCGTACTTTGGCAATTTGTAGCAGTGTCAGTGATAAAACAGTTCTCCCTCACAACCCCAAACCCCCCCCCCCCGCCCCATTTAGTTCCCTCCATCCTTGGTCACCACTGCCCGGAGGAAGAAAGTGGCCAGTCTGAAGGGCTTTGCATTTCCCACAACCCCAGGCTCTCTCTGCCAGATTTACAGCCAAAGCCACAGCAACTGTCCACCACTCTGAACCTGACACCCTGCTGTACAGTACTCTGTGGGCTTTGCCCGTCCCTCTAGAACAAAAATGGATTTCTACTCTTACTTTCAAACAGTTTCACTGAGCTAGAACATCTTAGTTTCTGTAGCCAAGGCTGGCTTCATGGGTGTGCAACCAGCACAGTGGCGCAGGGTCCCACACCCAGAAAGGGACCCGTCGAACTCAGGGTGCAGTGCTCCGTGGTTGCCATCTTGAAATTCTTAAGAATTTTATCTCAGGTTACGTGATTTGTAAGTGAAAGGCAATGGGACAACGGAACACGTGCCTGGAGACTCTGCACGTTGACCCAAGTGCACTCGCACTTCCTGCAGCCACCCTGCCTCTAAATACCGTATTTTGCCATGTATCAGGTGCACCTGTGTTTTTGTGCACATTATACACCCATTATTATATCCATGGTACATAATCATTATACCCATGTATAATTCACACTCTTATTTTTTCCCTCAAAAATTTGGACAAGAAGTACACATTATACACAGACAAATAACAATGATTTTTGCATGAGGCCCCGCCCATTGTGTAGCTGGTTCTGCCATTCGCCACCCAACTCTGCCATTAGCTTCCAACTCCAACTCACCGCGCCCAGGCCTCCACCTCCACCTTGTATGCCCTGTGGTGTGGACACCGGGGAGGGGCACAGGTGCAAACAGGGAGGAAAGGGCTCCTGGCCTCGGAGAAGAGAGAGTTGAGTGGGTAAACCGTGTAAAACCCGGGGGCTGCCATACCCACCACGACTGCCCTTTGGAGAACATGCTGCAGGAAATGCAGAGGGAGTGGCAATTGCTGCTGCCGGGAGCTTCATGGGAAAGCTAGTTTTTGAACCAGGCAGTGAGGAATGGTAGAATGTCAATGGGAGAGGTGATGGAAGTGTTCAAGGTGAGGGACAACACGTGAACATGGGTTGGAAAGCATATTCAAGTGTCTTTTGAGTAGAGAATGAGGCTGGGGCGTGGGGCGTATGAGCCCAGTGGTAATGTGACGAAAAGGGGAGTTGGGCCAGAGTTCACAGCACCCCTCTCTCTTTCCCTAGTGTCACCCCCCTTCTTCAAACTGCAATTTAGGGTTTCCTCATCTATCAAATGAAGTTGGATTGAAAACTCTTCTCCTTCTAATACTCTTTGGTTCTGTAGGGAGACCACCAGCCATAAAGACACATCCCCAGTCCACTGGCATCATCCATCATTCTTCCCAGCAACTCACCTTTGTAATGACCTTGCAAATCTGTACATTGACTCTTATTCTGCCTGGGACCTCCCCCCACTAACCATATTTAATCTCTTTCCTTATGAGCAGCTACACTGTGTATTCTGGGTTTATAGTGACTGGGTTTCGGGGGGATTAAAAAATTTGGTTTTTGATTGACATTCAGTCTCAAGTTACTTTAGTGCAACTGTATTCTGTTTGGGAGTGAGGAGGTGGGCGAAGGGGGTATAGTTCAAGTGATATGTATGCCATATTTGTGTTTTTCAACTTTAAATTTGTTGGTGCTGCACAGTTGAAAGAAATACCACTTATGTGCAGAGTGAGACAGAAGTGAGTTATCCTGTGGGAACAGGAACAACTTCCCTGGGACAATACGGTTCCTAGGGCAAACTGTAGGGTCGGGAAGCAAAGCTAGACTCCTTTGCTCAGCTTTGATCTTGAGGGAGTCAGTTGTCCAGAAAGTGGTTCCCATGGAAAAAGGATGGTCCTCTTATCAGAGAGACAGGCCAGGAGCCAGGAGGCGGAAATTGGAACAAAGTGCCTGCAGCATTGCCGGCCTTTGGGGACAAGGGAGAAGTTTTTCAGATGAGATGATGGGAGCAGAGGCTACGCCTGTGGGTCCTGGGAACCAGTTAGCACGGGCAGGCTCAGACACAGGTGCTGGGTAAGCAGGACAGCTTTTCTGTTCCCCTTGACACCTATGTTTATTTTCCTTCTGTTTTCCTCCCGGGTTTAGTCAAGTTTTCCTGAAAATACCAAAGGTGAACCGAGGGAAGGGTTTTTATCTCCCAGACTTGATTAGAACTTTAAACAGGAAACAGTATACCCCTGGGAGCCAGCGAGATGGTAGTGGTGGAAATTAAAGAATGGGTACCTCTGGGTGAATGGGTGGTGTGTCACAGGGTCCAGGTCAGGATGACTTATGCAGCCACCCTAACAAGACAGTCTCCTTCCAGGGCCAAGCTTTTAGAATCTGGGCTTTGCTCTAGTGAGAGACCAGCAAGGAAGGTATCTTGAGATCAGCCCACTGATTCTGCAAGGACTGGGCGACAACCGTGTTGAGGTTCCACCAGGGTGGGAGAATGAGAGTGTTGATGGGTTAAAATGCCATTAAACAAGGAGATAGCAGAATTAGAAATCTAACCACTACAAGAAACATTTTGTAATGTAAACATTTATAAGCCAAACAAACAAACGAAAATAATCTGCAAGGAATCTTGCTGTTCAGGACAAGTCCGGCTCATTCATGTCAGTTGGTTGCTGCTGCTGCTGCTGCTGCTGCTGCCGCATCCTCTGCCGCCTACTTGTGAAGATGGTCGCCAGGCGGTGGTGGGGTGTCCTTGGGCAACATGTTCGCTGGGAAGCTGGCAGAGCACCCTGAAACTCAGGCCCTCTCACGACGTGGGTAGTGGCCCCACATGTTCATTTCCAAGGGTTGGAGATGGAACAGCTCCACCAGGTGTGGCCCAGCCAGGGATGAGTCCATTTCAGATGTTGAAATATAGAAGCAACCAACCCGACCCCCAGCCTCAGGGTCTTCCTTCGAGAGCCCAGGGGGCTGCAGCTGAGGACAGTCGAGCTGTTTCTTGAGATATTTGCAAGGATGCTGCTCCCAATAAAAGGCTATAAAGATGCATTTATAATTTTCAGGTTTAATTTCTTCATACTTTGCCAAGGGGGAGTTGGATATGGTCTTTCCAGGCTCCGGTGATGTTTAAAGAAGTGGGAGGACATGGTCCACGGCCACAGAAAGCTGCAGATGAAGAAGCCATCAGGTGCAAGTGCAGTGGGTGCCGTCTGTCTGGGGAACAGCCCAGGCCAAGGACTGGAGCGCCGTCCTCACCCTGCCTCCACCTTCGTGTTGTGGGTCCTAGGCAGAGACCTAACCCTTTTAAACTGTAATTCTCTCCACCAATGCTTTTGGTATATTTTGTTTAAAAAAAATGTGCTTTGCCCTCTCCCTTATGCTTATACAGCATGCGCATGCACACACACAACACACATCTCTTTCCCCATCACACCGCCATGGTGTTAGCAGAAAGACTTGAGCTAAAGGCTTGGTCGTCTAGGAGGGAAAGGCGCCCTAGAGATTCAGGAAAGTGGCATGAAGGCAGCAGTTCCCAGGGCTGAGGGCAGAGACAGACAAGCTCTGTCTGTGGACGTCAGAGTTCTGTTTGCTCACCTAAGATGGTGGTGACACCCTTTTCTCTCTCACCCACACAGGGACACTTGACCTCAGGTGGCTGGTCCCAGAATGACATCAGCTACCACCGCCTGCTAGTAACGCCTGTGTTTCCTTTTCAGATCTTACAGGTGAACAAGGTGATGTCCATCTTGTTTTATGTGATATTTCTCGCTTATCTCCGTGGTATCCAAGGTAACAGCATGGATCAAAGGAGTTTGCCAGAAGACTCGCTAAATTCCCTGATTATTAAGCTGATCCAGGCAGATATTTTGAAAAACAAGCTTTCCAAGCAGATGGTGGACGTTAAGGAAAACTACCAGAGCACCCTGCCCAAAGGAGAGGGCCCCCGGGAGCCGGAGCAGGGCGAGCCCACCAAGTCGGAATTCCAGCCGATGATCGCAATGGACACAGAACTGCGGCAGCAGAGACGCTACAACTCACCCCGGGTCCTGTTGAGTGACAGCACCCCCTTGGAGCCCCCTCCCTTGTATCTCATGGAGGATTACGTGGGCAGCCCCGTGGTGGCGAACAGAACATCACGGCGGAAGAGGTACGCGGAGCACAAGAGTCACCGAGGAGAGTACTCCGTGTGTGACAGCGAGAGTCTGTGGGTGACCGACAAGTCCTCGGCCATCGACATTCGGGGACACCAGGTCACGGTGCTGGGGGAGATCAAAACCGGCAACTCTCCCGTCAAACAATACTTTTATGAGACGAGATGTAAAGAAGCCAGGCCTGTCAAAAACGGGTGCAGGGGGATTGACGATAAACACTGGAACTCGCAGTGCAAAACGTCCCAAACCTACGTTCGAGCACTGACGTCGGAAAACAATAAACTCGTGGGCTGGCGGTGGATACGAATAGACACCTCCTGTGTGTGTGCCTTGTCGAGGAAGATCGGAAGAACATGAGTTGGCATCTCTCCCCATATATAAATTATTACTTTAAATTATATGATATGCATGTAGCATATAAATGTTTATATTGTTTTTATATATTATAAGTTGACCTTTATTTATTAAACTTCAGCAACCCTACAGTATATAAGCTTTTTTCTCAATAAAATCAGTGTGCTTGCCTTCCCTCAGGCCTCTCCCATCTGTTAAACCTTACTCTGTGACCCAGCTCTCAGGAGCCACTCTGTAAAATCTGTGTACACCAGTATTTGGCATTCAGTATTGATTGTCAAGGCCATGACTGTCGTTTTAGTAAACTTGTTAAAATCAGATGATGTCAGAGTTGTGTGTAGACACAGTAATATCTGCCCCCCTGCCCCTGTATACTTCATGTTTGATTAATTAAAAACACTTGTCAGGTCCATAGAAAAGGATACCCGGTAGCTTTGAGTCCTACTCTCAATTCTGGCCACAAGTTCACTGTCAAGAACTTGCTCTTCCTTTCCCAGCTGTCAGCTTGGCCAGTCAGAATGATGATTCGCCCCAGTGGTATGTCCTAGTACAATTACAGCAAACCTGGCAATTTTAGTTTTGGAAGTTTCTTTTCAGCACATTTGTTGTTTGGGGTTGTTGAAGGGTTGGATTTTTTCTTCTTTTTTGGTTTTGGTGTTTGTTTTGTTTTTGTAAGTGGTTTTCATCCTTTAAATACATAGGAAAAAATTTTTAACTATTTGTAACAGAATAATTGTATGGTTACCCAGAAGCAGACTGAAATGGCTTATGAATAGTCCACACACAAGAGAGAATTTACTGTTCGGAGCGCCTTTGGCGCCTCCTCTGGTGGCACCTCCTCTGGCGGTGCCTCCTAGAGCTGCAAGAGGAATTGGAAACAGCTCCCACTTTGCCGTCAGGCCTGGGTTCAAATTCCAGCTACTCCCCTGCGACTTGGAGCATGGCTGGGAAGCCGTCCTGAGCCCACGTCACCCAGGGTCAGAAAGACAGATGGGATTCTGCCTACCTCATGGTGCTGTCCTGGAGACTCAGCTAAATAACCCCTGTAGACTTCTGGCACAGGGTAGGCGTTCAAGAGTCACCGTCCCTTCCCCCCTCTCCTCCTCTTCTTTCTCAGCTATTGTGTGTCTTTGTATCATGTTTTTTAATATGTTTTATCAAAAAACTATTGAGCACAAAAGTTTTAAGCATGTTAACCTGCAATGCAAGTAAATTCAGGAAGATAATTTATGCCAATTTCAAGAGCATCAAGTTTGGAATTTTTTAATAATTACGTACAAGGTTCTTGACAGTCTGGCTCTGCCCTCTTTTGAGTTTCGTCTGTGCCACTCTGACAAGTGTTCCTCGGCGTGCTGGACAGCCTGCTGTCTGGCAGCGAACGTCCTTCCATGAAAGCTTTTCTCTTCTTTCACAGCTCCTGTGTGTCTCTATTGTTCTCGGTTGATTCATCACTTTGCAGTGTAAAATTTCAAATGGAAGGAATCTCCCTAGTGCCTACTGGGTCTTGGAAGGAGTCACAGCAGCCAAGGGGTCCCTGTGCAGATGGCCACACCTGTCCTGCCATGGCAGGCCTGAGGAGGACACTAGTGGTCCCTCAAGCTCTTGAGGTTGGAACCTAAGGAATCTCATCTCCCATCTTGCCACGGATGCGGGGTGCCCCATCCCACTGCAGAAGCCACTGTCCCTGCCCTGCCATCCTGTCCTGGGCCTTCCCTGGACTGCCCTGCCTTCAAGGCCCAGGGGTGCTCTCTCTATGGAGATCAGCCCGTGCCCCAGGACCTCTCTAAAACATGCCCAGTGGGAGGTGTGTCCTGTGTGCCATGAGTCTTTGAAACAGGCTCAGCAAATAGCAGTGATTGGTGAAGAGCATCGTTCCACTGCGCTTGATTCTAGTGCCCAGAGGAGGGTAGGAAATGAGGAATTTACCCCATGCCCTCTGTGGGCTGGGCACTTCCAAACACATCCACCAGCAGTGGTCACAGGTCCTTTGAGGTAGTCACGGTCATCTCCAGTTAATGGGTGGGGAAACGGGCTTGGGACTTGTCCATGATGACTGCTGAGCAGGTAAGGAGCAAGCAGAGATCTAAATCCCTGTTTGAATGATGACGCAGCCTCATTTCCCCCTCACTAGTCTCTCCCTGTCCCCCCTGCATGGCATGTTGCATTTCAGGATGCACATTAAAGTCCTAGAGAAATGAAAAGTGTGGTTCTCTGCATGGAATCCTTTCATGAGCCTACAGCAAACCCACCGACAGGGTAGTAGAAGGCTTGTGCTTGACCCAAGCCCAGATCTCAGACTGGAACTTCTATTCCTCTTCTGGAACCTCTATTTCAAATGAGTAGAGGGCTGGTCTAGAGGCTCTGGCTACCTGGGGAGATGGGCTGAGGTAACAGAGGCCCTAGACCCCAGCCTGGAAAGCCACAGTCCTTAAACAGTAGGGCTGAGTCCTGGGCCCTGCCTCGAATGGAAGGCATTTGCCTCCGTGTCCAGAGCGGGTCTGGAATGGCATGCTTGCAGGGCAGGTGCGGCTCCGAGGAGAAAATGAATGTGGAAAAGAGAGAAAACCTTCCCGAAAGGATCTCCTGGCTTCAGGCCATGTGACAGCTCTGCTTCCCCCACGCTGGGCCGCAGAGCAATGAAGCATTATCCGGGTCCATTTCAGCTACTTCATTAGCATTAGGAGGCATTCACACACTGCCCAAGTCAACACGTTAGGCTTATGGGCCTGGGACAGAGCCTTCTTGAAGGTTCAGAGCAGGCTTACTTTTATCCAGTGTGTACATTTGCCATTGTGATAGGTTGAAAATCAAACTTATCTTTGCAATTGGAGGGCCTTGGAGGGCTGATGTCTAGCTTCTGGAAACTCCACACTCTCCTCCATCTTCCCTTATTGCTTGGATATTCCTGGATAACTCACCTGTCCTGACAGGAGCTCTGTGCATCATGAGATCCCCTGCAGACTGGACAGTCCCCACTTCCTTAGTGAATGCCGTGCTCTGTCTGCCACTGGTGGAGGCTTCCCTCTGCCCTCTTATTCACCTCTAAGGTTCCCCTATTTGTGGGCTGTGTGAACTTGAGCAAGTTACTTAACCTCTCTGAGCCTCTGCTTCCTTGTCTATAAAATGAAGATGGTGCTGACTTCCTAAGATTGTTCTGCAGCGTAAGGAAAACACCCAGTTCCCAGTACATAGGAAGCCCCTGAGTGTGACATCATGATGATGATGACGACAACTAGCTTTTGTGGGGTTTTCAGGAGCCCTCATTCTGGAATTCTGGTAGGAATTTCTCAGGTACACAGTGGAAGTGTAGCCAGCATCTACCCCATGGGAAGCAGCCCCCAGGATGGCACTGGCTCAGTGCCTGTGGCCCAGTCCCACTGATGGGCCTTGAATCCTTCTCAGTTTACACACGCGGGGAGGATCGCTAACTCTGTTCAGGAAACTGCTAGCAACCTACCTGACCTTCTGAAGAGAGTGTGTGTGTTTCATTCCTCCTTGAAAATTTACAAGACAGCTTTGTTCTTGTTCTCATTCTCCCCCCACCACCCCTGCCTCCCTCCCACTGGTGTCCAACAATGCTTTCTCCAGGCTGGTGGTTTGGAGTTTGGCGTCTTTGAGGATATCTTTGCTGGGTCTCTTTCCCGGGTGTATGTGTTTATGTGTGTTTTTTACTTTGTTTGCTTGATGCGAAAACCCTCCATTGAGGCTTGGAGAAACCATCTGCATGTATTTTATCCCCTTTGAACATGTGTTTGAGCATGAAATCTGTGTAGTCCACTTATGACTACCTGGAGATTTGTCTGGCTTCCCCAGGAAGATGCGTCCCCCCAGGCTTCAAGGTCTCATGGCCCTGGGTGTACAAAGCCAATGCCAGGCCGTCGGCGAGGCCCAGCTTCACCTCGCAGAGCTCCAGCTCACTCAGCCTCAGAGAGCACACTCTGGAACCTGGAGAACAGACAACTGTCTACCCACCCTCAGCCCTAATAACCCTGGCCAGAGGGCCTGGAACATGCTCAGTTCCACAGACCCAGGAATTGCCACAGACATCGAAGACTGATTATCTCACTGGAACCTTCTTTAGCCTGACCTTCTTCCTCAAATTCCCCAGCTCCAGATCTAAGGAGATCCAGCGTCCTTATGCATGCCTTCTCAGGTTACAGTGGGCGAGTGGACTTCTCAAAAGGCACATGTGTTTCACAGTGACCTGAATGCAAGTGCCTCTGTGGTGACTGCACACCCTGGGTTTTTGGTTGGTTTCAGATGGAGGTCAGCCCAGCTTGGAAGAGAAGAACCACAGCGCAGGTCGAAGCACTCTGAAGGACCTTCGATTTGTTGCCTTCTGTCCTCGGCCAGTATTTGGTTACAACACATGGAAGGCTAATAAAGCAAGCACAAATGTGCCTGCAGTAGGGAGGAGCAAGGAGGCAGAGAAGATAAGAGCCCAAAAGTGTCAAGTCTTTTCTAGAAGTGGACGAGTTTGGCTGAGTTGATTTGCTGCAGAGTTCAGCAGTAGCATTGCCCATTCAATTAGAGACGTCTCTGGGGCAAGAAAGCATAAAAGTTTATTGGGAAATTGTGAAACAGCCTAATGAGTTAGATGGCTTTTCACATGGAAGTAAGTGTATGGAGGTGGGTGGGCATGTACGTGTTTGCACATGTGTATGTGTGTGTCCTTTGCATGCACCTGTGTTCGTGTGTGTGTAGTTGCTTTGATATCCTAACCATTAATGCATTGAAGTTTTTAAAGGAAAAGAAATGCTTGAAAAGAATGTTCCAGAATATAAGTTTAACCCTTAGGAGACAGAGTGGGTAGCCAGCTGGGGAGCATATGGAAAATGAACATTCTTGGGGCTAGAAAACAGGCTGGTCTGAGTTGAGGATTTGCAGACAGAAGAGGCAGCAGGCCAACTCCACCAGCCCAAACAGAGGGAAGTAAAGTTGTGGATTTTTTGATTTGGTAGGAAAGCACTGGAAGCCAGTGTGGGTTTAGGGGTGGGAGATAAGTCAAACCAAAGAATAAATAATAGTAATGGTTGTCATTCACTGGCTGCAACCTCCATGTAAGGCACCATGTCTATTCTGGTAGTTTTAACTCTTTTGTGCAATTGAGGACATATAGTTAAGTATCTTGCCCAAGCTCATATAGTGGGTGAGGGTAAGCTGCCAGCAAGGAGCCCCAGAGGTCTGTGTTCTGTGGAAGGACATGCTGTTAGCTGGGTAAGTAAGACAAGGATGGAGAAGATGCTGAGTGCTTCCGAGGCCTTGACTGCAGAATTTCAGTGGGGCAAGGGGAGTGAGGAGGGTAGCATGCCCTTGGCACACAGATATTACAGTGTCCATATAGCAGAATTCCCAAAAGCTGTCCCCCATGAGGGAGGTTTCAGCTCATCAGTGCAGCAGCTCACTGCCACAGGGGTTCTCAGAGGTTAGAGAGAAGGACTGGGCCTCCTACCCAAACCCTGCATCCCTCCACCCCAGCAACTTCACGACCACTGTCCTCGGGGAGGGTGGCTGTAGCTTATCTTTATGTATGACAGTCAGCACTGCTGTCATGAACCTTGGGACTCTTCTAAGACAAGAGCTTCAAATTTGGACAGAACCTTCTATCTTCCCTTACAAGATAGAAATCTTTTATTCATTCAGTACATTTTTTTTTTATTGTTAAATGCCTACTAGACATCAGACACCCTGCTCAATGTATGGCCTCAACATGGGAGATGTTAACCCTCTGGGAAGGGCAGTGAAAAGACAGGACTTTAAGATAGAGCATCTTACAGCAGCCTTGACGATTTCCATGTCCTCTCTATAAGCACCTCCTCACAAGGAGCTGGCTCTATTTTAACACAGCTCTAATGAATTTATAGAAATCCATTCTCTACATTGAAGCCAAATATACAGATACGGCAGCCACGACTAGACTGCCAACAGAAGGGCTGCAGGAATTCCAGACAAAGAGCAATGAAGCGTTGCTTTGCACAATCACGGAAGACTTCACTGAGGAGATGACCTCTAAGATGGCTCTTAAGGAGGTGTAACAGTTTGAAAAGGAAGAATGAGGGCAAGGATATTTCAGACAGAAGAACAATCTGCAAAAATGCATAAAGTTAAGGGTCTGACATAGAGGAAA